CCTGTCCAAAACATCCTGTATCATATTCACTTCATCTAAGTCAGCATCTGACTCAGATACCTCAGATCCATCTGAGGGAATTTCCTCCACCATATTGAATGCATCATCACTCGTTATTCTACTGACATCAATGAATCTGTTCATTTCGAAAAACTGTAACAAAAAGACACACATTCAATCACCCTATCAGCGGAGTGGTTCCATTACGAACCACCGGTAAGAATATCAAAAATCAAATAGTAATCTAATTTTTTCATTGAACTGCATTATGGCAATATAAAGAGACTACTATTCATCAACAAATCTACTATTACATACCTCACTTTCACACATAAGCAAACGCGCCGATTGTGTGCTGCTTACTGATACTAAATCCCCACTTAAATTCCGCAAACTGTGTGGCGGGTGGAATATACTACGTATAGATCGCTTTGGACACGGTGGTTCCAGCGTTCGACTACTCCGCCAATAAAGAAAAAATATTAAAGAGGTGGTTCCACAGTGGTTCCACAGTGCCGGAAAGAGTTAAGCGGCGTTCACAACCAAACTTTTTACGTTCTGCTTTTTACGTTTCGTATTCTGATTGGTGAAGCAGAATCTGAAATTGAACGTGAATTGAACTTATGCAAATGTCATTCACAACAACAAAAAATCAACGTGACTTTTCACGGCTTTCCTCAGTTGCCTTGTTTTTGTCTCAGTTTTGTCATTTGCGTTTCATCCTGAAATAAAGTGAAATAATCATTACAATAATATTGATTGGATAATTAATAATATTCATAGAACTGGCGGTGATGAAAATTGATCCTCATTCAATACTTGAAGAGGATTTTCCTCTTCCTTCTTCTTCAATCCTCAAGAAGGAAATAATAAATTGACAGTATACCTATCTACTATTCCGTGGATTCACGAAAAAATCATAGGCAGAAACATTATCATAACTTCCATATAGAATATTCCATACATGTATTGTTCTATTCGAATCAGAACTAACAGTAGTATTAGCCATTTTTAAAACAATATCATTTGTCTTTTACTATTTTCACAGACGATGGCTTCTTGCAACGCAAAAAGCTGGAGATTTTCAGCTTTTTGCGTCATTTGAATTACAGATTTTGCTTCACCAATCAGAATACGAAACGTAAAAAGCAAAACGTAAAAAGTTTGGTTGTGAACGCCGCTTTATGGTGTGCTACCAGCAAGAATTCAGATGACCATGAATTACTAATAGGCGACTTTTACGGACCAATCAGAAACAGCAAAGTAGTGCCTGCGTGGTTGCGATTCATCCTGATTGGGCACAGGTGATTGAGATTAATGTATTAGTGAGGAAGGATTATATCTTTAAATGAAACTACCATTTTCATAAAAAACTAATTTGGAAAAAACATCTTTTAGTTTAATTCAATGAAATGATACTTCCTCACTATACACTGATCTCACAAATCCAATCAGTTGTGTCCAATCAGGATGAATCGCAACCACGCAGGCGCTACTTTGCTGTTTCTGATTGATCCTTAGAAATCACTTATTAGTAATTCATGGTCATCTGAATTCTTGCGCCCGAAACGGTCAGAAGCATGCGCAGTTTCACAGAACTGTATGATTTTTTTGGGTTCTGTGAACTTGTGCATGCTTCTGACGGTTTCGGATTGTTTATTTTCTGAACGCGAACAATCCTAGTTAGTACTGTCAAAGGTCACAGCAAAGAGGAAATCTATAGTCACAGATACTACTGTTCTGAGAAATGATGTTGACAGATCATATGATAATAGTTATGGTTGTGTGGTTAGATTTTAGATTTAGAATGGGGCCTTCGGGCTATCTGCCTCCACACCGCGACCTTTTCAGATCTATTGTGTCTGCCCTCAAAATCGATTAGAGTTCTTCGGCTAGCCCCGTCTTCTCTATGAGACTCCATAGGCTAGCTTTCAGATCCCCTGTATATCTCTGGGCTTCTGGTTTTTCCTCACCCAGCGTAAGGAACCTTAGTCTTGACAAGCCCTCACAGTGGCAAAGTATGTGTACTGCTGTTTCCTCCTCTTCCTGACAGAACCTGCACAGCAGTTCTTCAGTCAGACCTATCGTACTCATGTGTTTGTTGAGCCTACAATGCCCTGTGAGAAGTCCCACTAGTATTCTAGTTGAACTTCGTTTCTGGCTTAGTAGATATTCTGTGAATGTTGGCGATGGTTTTTTAATAAACTCTTTTGCCTGTCTCATTCCTGGCGATTTGTTCCACCATTCTTGAGATTTGGTTTGCATCCATGATTTGATACTAGTCTTTTGTATAGCTTTCGCAATACCACAGAAGGGTTCTGGGCCATTCAGAGCTTTGTTTGCTCCTGCTCGGGCAAGTGAGTCTGCCTCTTCATTGCCCTCGTACCCTGTATGTGCTGGTACCCATGCTAGAGTCAGTCTGTTCTGACTGCCCAGTGCATTTAGGGTTTCTAAGCAGTCCCATACTAGTTTTGAGTTAACTTGCATAGAGTTGACTGCTTTGATTGCCGCCTGGCTATCTGAATAGATTGCAATGGTTTTGCCTTTAAACTCTTGCCTTATCAATTCTTTCACGCAATGATGTATTGCAATAATTTCTGCCTGAAACACCGTCGCGTATTTACCTAAGCTCAGTGAGATTCTTGTCTTTGGCTTGGCCCCATAAATACCAGCTCCTGATCCAAACTCAGTTTTGGAGCCGTCCGTATAGACAGCAATGTCTGCATTGATAGGAGGTCCTTCCTTCCATGCCTCTCTGTCCGTTATACTTATTTTAAAAGTTTTTTCAAAGCTATATTTTGGAATTATACCATCCGTTGGCATTCCCATGATGGGGTCGCTTTCCAACTCTTCATATAGCTTTCTATAGTCTTTACCGTGCGCGTTGCTTATGGGTGCTTGACCCCTTGACAATCTACTCACGACTGCTCTGGCTTCGCCTTGAATATATATTTGTAGTGGTGGTAGGTTCAAGAGGACCTCTAAAGCGGCTGTTGGAGTGGTTTTCATTGCACCAGTGGCACTCAGGCAAGCTTGCCTTTGAATAGCACTGAGCCTTCGAATCACTCCAGCCTGTTGTGTCTTTGGCCACCAAACTACTGACCCATATGCTATCATAGGCCTGATGACGCTGGCATAGAGCCATGTGGTCATTTTTGGTTGCAGTCCCCAATTTTTCCCGCACATTCGCCTGCACAGATTGAAGGCTACTGTACTTTTTCGAACAATTTTTTGTAGGTGTTGATTCCATGTTAACTTATGGTCAAAGATGACTCCTAAGTATTTTGCCTCTAGGGCGAACGGAATTTCTACCCCGTTGAGTACTGGTGACTTTAATCCTTCCAGTACTCTCTTTTTCGTGAAATTCACTATAGTGGTTTTATGAGGGTTCACGGTGAGTTCCTCCTCTTTACACCAATTGTCAATTATGTTTAGAGCGATTTGTGTGAGCTCCGAGACCGTACTTGCGAATCTACCTCTAGCGATAACCGCCAGGTCGTCGGCATATCCTAAGCAATAATACCCTTTGGATGTTAGCCTTTTGATCAGTTCGTCCATTAGAATGGCCCATAGTAGGGGCGATAATACTCCTCCCTGTGGGCATCCCCTATCTGCTCTAGCTGTCAGAGTTGTCTCGCCAATTGTGGATATGATAACCCTATTTTTCGAATTGACATTTATCCACTGGCACAGGAGTAGCGGTACTCCTTTCCTTGCTAGGGCATTAATTATAGAATTTGTTGATGCGTTATTGTGTGGTTGCTGGTTTGTAAAATAATTGTAAACGTAAAATAAAAAATAAAATAATTGGATGTTGTGTCTTGTGTCGTGATAATCGTGATATGATCGTGATCGTGAGTTTTCAATGTGAGATTGCCAGGAAGGATATGTCGTCGTCGAGTCGTTTTCGATGGTTTAAGTGCGAATATGAACCATCAAGAACACAGGACGATATTAGTCTGGAATGGATATTAGTATTTGTTTGCTCTCGGGAGTTTTGCTGTTCAAGCAGGTATGAGAAAATCTACTAGGTGAGGCGATTTTCAACTTTGTGTATGTTGTGTACCTATTTATTGTCTGCTAATTTCGTATCTACCCGCTGGGGCCTTATTTTCGACTTGAAGGAAGGGGGACGTTCTATTATTCCCCTCATGTTTCTCTCCGTCTCTCGTGATCCATGGAGATAATCACCCCACAGTTCTCTCAGTAAACTTTAAAAAATAAGGCTCCTGTACTTATTACATTCACCTCTATTAGTTTCTATAACCTATTGCAATTCATATTCATTCTGTGACAAATTTTTATCAGGATATTCGTCTCTGAAATAATCTGGCATCACTGTTTTGTTTTGACGTTAGTGAATGACGAATTGGGGATTCCTTGGGATTCCGCAGATTTCACTTGCTTCCCAGTGGCGTACTCGAATGTTAATATTGTATCTTATATATTAAAGGCTCATTAATGGCGACACTTTGTCTGTTTTCTGTGATAGTCAAGCGAGAAAAGAAATCCTTCATAGCCACCAAAATTTCAAGGAACCACAAAAAACGAGATTCAAAAGATAAGCTTGCAGAGATGGTGCTACAAAAAACGCGGCAGAGATCACCGATTCGAATGGAAACCGAAGTGTTGTCAGTTGCAGAATCTTCAGTAGGAAAATAATAAATGTATGAACTAACCTACGCAACTGGACGACTCTGCAGGTTGCCAAGCGTATGTCAAATAACCCAAACTACTGAAATTACACTGATTGATATATGCACACAAATAGTAATGAGTAGCTGTTACTGGAGGAAAACGTAAACAGTAGGCAAATGAAATAAGGAAACAAAATACTTTGTATATATCTTAAATGAACTTTAGGAACAACGGTACGATTATTGTGATGAGAGGTTTCAGCACAATAGACACCTGAATTTAACAGTTATATCTCGATAGACAGAACATCGGCGATCTAAGTCCGCTATCAAGAAATCAAATAATTTGTTGAATATATCAACCCTAAATTTATCTTTTCCAATGAATACAGGCTTTTCGATTTCCTTATTCGCAAGCAGAATTTTTCTTTTGCGCTCATAGTATCCCTCATATTCTTTCTCAATATCTTCGCTTAATTCTTTGGCATTTGTTTCCAATTGATCAGTTTCTGATTCGGTTCTTCCTCTGATATCTTGTATTAACAGTTTCGAAGAGTCCATTAAGTAATATGCTTCTTGTATATTCAAACTAGGATTTTGTAGTTTCGTAGAAACCTTATTGAAGCGCTCTAGTACTCTTTCCCAAATCACTGTCAACATAGCATATTCTAATTTAATAAGCTTTTTATATAATTTTTTTGCCTCATTTCTGCAATCAGTCTTCTCTGTTTCATCCAAGTATATGTGCTTTGAAGTCTTCAATATATCATCATATCCAAATTTTAGTGCTCTAACAGCTTCATAATGAGCACACCATCTTGTTAAACTCAAAGATTTCAATAAGTACTGAAGTTTTGCGATAGTTGACACTTTATTCCATCTATGGGGTGATGCAGAGAAAAAAACATATAGCAACTGGAGGATACCGAAATAATCTACGACTTCTGGAATCAACTTCACAGCTTCTGCTCCCACGAGATTTAACGAATGTGCCGAACAGGGTATATAATCTGCGAACCTATTAATAGACTTGAAACGAGCTTGGACTCCATTATATGTACCACTCATGTTGGCTGCATTGTCATATGACTGTCCTCGAATGTTTTCTAAAGGAATACCAGTTTGGCTCAGAAACGAAGATATTTGTTCAAACAAATATTCCGATGTGTGTCTCTCAATTGGAATAAACGTCAAAACCCTTTCATAAGGCAATCCTTGGAAACAATACCTCACAACAATGGCTAATTGATCAATGTGGTCCAAATCCGGTGTAGAATCTACAATAATTGAATAGTATTGAACATCATCTTCATTCATTTGATTGACTATAGCTCTCAATACTTGCTTTCCCATTATTTCAACAATTTCCTCATAAATAGTTTTGGACAAATAGGAAACTGACCTCGTTGATGCAGACTGAGATCTTGGTAAAAGTGATCCGATTCTTTTTTGGCTTGCTCCTCCATATGTTTATCGATGGTGTTTTTATTTTCCTTCCTTGAAAACCATGTCAAAATCGACTGCGTGTGACCTTTGCTCAACTGGTGCATATCCAACAACCGTAATATATTAGGCCAATCATTCAGTCCGGTTTTGAATTTCGATTCTGCCAAGGAAAACAATTTACATGCAATGCAATAAACTAAGCCACTGCTTGGCGAGTAACATAGCCACTGCCTCTTTATCTTTTGTCCGTTTTTTAAAGTTCTCGCAAAGTACAAGTTATTGAAACATCTTTTCTGCTTCCCGAAGGCTGTTTCAGACTGAGGATAGTAATTATTATGATCATAATTCTGGAAATATGTGAAATCTTTGACTAGATATAATCTTATCAGATCGTTGTCAACAGAATCTGGCCAGAAAGCTAAATCCTTATACCTCTCTGAAGTTTTATCCAATTTAACATAGGTGATGAATTCGTCGCAATGTTCCAAATTCTCTCTATTTTCGTTAATATCCTCTGAAGTGATAGAATAGCAGATATCGTCTCCAAAATCATTTCCCTCTGCAGTATGGGAACTTGTGGATTCGTTATTTCGTTCCTGTAAACCATCTCTAATATTTTTCCTAACATTAGTATTTTGTGAGGTACTGGGTTGACATGTTTCTTCTATGTCTCCTGTTTCCTCTATCGTATTGGAACTATCGTTTTGTTGAGTTTCGTCGGAAACTTTGTCTAATTTTGTAACAAAAAATATCGTTAATTTTGGATGTTTCATTCGATCCTGCTCTTTTTATTTCTTTCAATTTCCGTTTTTGATAGCCAGTCATATATTGTCTGTCAGACATGGCGTCAATGCAACAGATAACAGTCTCCACTGAAACAACAGGAAATTAAAATAATAATAATAATAAAGTACTTTATTGATCATATGTAAGTGTAAACATATACAGTACAATACAATCAAGTGGCCGTATTGTACAGGAAATTATTAATTTTATTTTTATAATAAATAGTAGGTTATTTATATCACAAAACCGAAAAATCTATCTGGACATATTAATTAAATCATGGCCTAGCCAGGAGCTAGTTAGTAATGAAAAGCGTTAAGATATGTTATGATAATTTCCGAAGACGAAATCGTAAAATTCTCAACACGTCACTTCAACTTCAGGACGCTATCTTTTCATCAATGAAAAATTCTAATTTAAAAAATATATATAACAATAAGTTCTATTCAATATAAAGTTGAATGCGACTTTTTATACTTTCTTCCTAATATTTGCTAGTGACATCAACATTTTGAATCTATACTTGTTCCTGTTCGCGGTTCGTTCGAAAAATGGAATGATAAATTATGTCTTCAATTTTTTCAACTATTAATAACAAAATCTAATACTTACCTACTCACAACAAGATACAACACCCACACAGTGAAGTGATTAGTAATAGCTAATGAAAGTCTGGAAGTTAGATATGAGTATTTGGTTTGTCTTTGAGTCAATAAAAATTGCAAGTATCGAAAACAGACTACATTGTTTCACTCTGGCAGTCTGGCCAACGCTGGCGCTAAACTACGAAAAGACTCCGAACAGGCGAACTCGACGAAGGAAAAGGGTGAGATGTTGCCTAATGCAGGAGACACAAAAAACTGGTGCAATTTGCAATGTTGCCGCTACCGCTATTTGAAATAAGTATTGCTGATATTGCTCAGAGGAAATCTGCCATTATTTTATTTACACAAACAAATGATATAGGAAAATAATAATGCAATATCTGGTAAATCCGCCGCTGATGATAAGCCAAAGTAGCTTCAGCAGCCCTCACTAATTTATCTTCATTTTTCGTTTTGGTTACAAAATTTTGCAGGCCCGAAGTGCTTGACTGGCTTCCAATGTTTTTCTTATGTTTGACAGTGCCATTATGATCCAAGATATCCTTCTTACCCTTGTGAGCAATGCTTATATGACAATTGCAGATTTGGCAAAACACTTCTTCGTTGGATTTTCCTTTTTTTATTGAGGGGAATTCTCTGAAATAATCTTCAGAAATCTTACAGTGTCGTTTAGGCATTCTGTTTTAACTTGTTTTCAATAATTTAATCCACCTCACTAATGAACTAACACTAATACTCAACAATCTCAACAATGTTATATTCGCAAATGCAACTCTCATGTGGGGTTCACAGAAGGTGGTATGTGATGTGATTGACGTTCCACTCCACTAAATACCAGAACTAGACAGCTAGACACTGACAGGCACAGAACACATACACCTAAAGCTGTGTTCTGTGACACAGAACATGCAAAGGTGGGGAAAGTGTAAGGTCTAAGGTTCGAGCACGTCAGAGATCATCTACAAGCGCCTACTGCAAATTCGATTGCGTCAGTTTTCATGAGCAGTGGCGTGGTAGTTTTATATTGTAAAAGATGTATTGGAAATGAGGAAAATCCGGACCATTTATCAAAACCCGCCCGGACGTCCCCGGACGCCCCTAAAACCCGGACATGTCCGGGGAAATCCGGACGGATGGCAACCCTAAACTAGGTACATGTGAAAAATCATACAAAACCATTTGATCCGATATTTTATTGTTCTGGAAATTCAATGTGATTTTACATGGTCTAATGACTACTGAAATAAAAATGTTCCCCAGATTGATATGAATAGTTGTGTTCAAAAGCTCCACCTGAGTTATCTTGAAAAATGGAAAATACAAGGACTAAATAGTTTCCTCACGAGAAAAATACTTAAAAGTAATATCACATGTTCTGAATATTCAGGATAATTCTGTAGCTTTGTAGTTCACGAAATTGTGTTGCCGATCAACAACATGAGCCCGTCAGGGCGAGTGGTATTGCTGAACAGCAACACAATAATTGATTTAACAATGAAATACATAATTATGAGAAGATATTCAGAACTGATTGGTATTTCGCAAGACTATTATACAAAGCATGAGAAGAATTCATTATAAATGAACAAGCCATAAAACCAAAGCAATTCATCTACAGCTATAATCATTTAATGTCAATCTTACAGACTTTTCTTTGTTACCCATGGTTATATTGTTGAAAACACCATCGCAGATAGACCAATCAGAATTGAAAGACAGTTAGTATTTTCGCGATAACACAAGTTGTATCTGGCTTGTGATTAGTCAGATTATGTAAGTATTTTGAGATGATTGAAATAGTCAGAAGAACATCTTCAATTTAATGTGTTTCACTGTGATGAGTATAGGGCATTGTTACAAAATGGTGTGAATCTATTTCAAATTTTAAACATTTCTGGGAAATTCTATCCAGTGTGATATTTTCTAATATAAAATTATCTGATTTCATGAGGAATAAATGGAGCCTCGAGACATCAAGTTTTTCAATGAACAATTGCTGATTAAAATGATGTCTACCATGTGAAATTATTATATTATTTCCAGATTTTTCAATTCTATATATTTCAAAAATTTTACTGGTATCAAAAATAATAAAATTATCTGGGGCATCTATTGAAAGGGTGAAATCTTGAAACATTATATTTTTGAATGTTGAGTAACCATCCCTTACAACATATTCACCTAGAATGGGACTTTCAAAAACAGCGATATCATTTGGAAAATTCAAATGATACATTTCATTAATTCTATTGTGAATTTGCTGCAAAGGTTTATGAGTCTGTCTCAATTTATTTTTCAACTTAAATAAAGCAGTTATCTAAAGGTCCAAATTTTTGTACTTTAGCAAAAAGATGTATCAAGCCATGAACATTGTATGGAAGATTTTCCCTACCATAAAACACTTCAAAATTTTCAACAAAATATACCAATAAAGAGTGATCATAAGGGTGCAATATTATTTCATTCGAACATAAACTTCTAATTCCAATACTGAGTGCCATGAAATGCTGATATTGATCGTTTGACCTTACATCTTTGAAAATTATAGGGCCAGTATATAATAGGAACTGCCTGAACTCAATCTTTCAAGCTCATCCAGTGACTTAGGTTTGCGGGCAAACTCTGAAGGAATAGAATATTTAAAACTGAGTAATGATGAATATATTTGTTCAATTTTCTGTTTGTTCAACCTCAAAGATATACTTCCCCTAGTCAATATCATTAATATTTTCTTCATCACCCCTAAACAAACCAAGTGCATATAATCTAGTGGAAAGTGACTAACCATCCCAAAATTTAGTTTCTCCAAATCAGAAAAATCCTTATGATGATCTTCATCTTCTTTCAATGTAAATGATAAATCTGTCCTCAATTTACTGTTAACATCAGCAAATATAACTCTGTGTTCATAATAATCCCCATGAATTGTGCATTTTGTACATGAGTTTAACCAGAATGTGTATTTACATTAATGATGAATGCTCTTGCTGGGGCATCACAGATGAAGGCACCAATATTCAATATTTATTGTTAAATGTTGATTATTAAAAATAAGTCCTGTTTCAAGCAATTCTTTCAATTCATTGATGAATAATTCCAGAAATGCATTATTTGATTTTGGTTTCATATCACCATGGTATATGCCAACAACAAATAGTTCTGTATGAAAATTCATTCCTGCTAAAGATCCCAGAATAGGCCAAAACTGACTACAGCTACTTTTAGAGATAAGGAGGCCATCTACATAGAAATTCAAACATATTTTGTCTGGTACTTGTCTGTGATTGAAATGTAAACCCAAAGAAATTTTGAGGCTAACTTCCAAACCAAAGTGAACATATTTACCAGGATGAACATCATATAAATGAGAACAACTACGTGGAGTACCTAAAAGTGTACGAATATTTGTTGGAAGGTTCTTATCAACTTGATGTTTATTCAAAATCCGCAAAATTTTATTGGCTGTAGAATGGCTTACATTCTCTTCCAAAAAACACTGCCGCAGATCGCTAACTAAAGTAGTTTTCCCTCTTTCATCAACAGAACTGGAATAATATTGACTTCTTATATTGATTTCCTTAGGATTTTCCGTAGGATATGACCGTCTACAAACTCATTACATGTTTCTACTTGATCTACATCATCTACAAGCTGTTGATTACTGAAATCAATTTCTGTTGCATTATTGCATGATGAACTCGAAGAATTTGCATATTTAGCGGCATCACTAGCTTCTTTAGCTTCTTGAATTGAGATATGCTCAGTGGCAGGTGTATTGTTTTCCAAGAAAACTGGTTCAGTAACAACGGAATTGCAAAATACCGATTTTTCCGTCTCCTTCTACGTGGAGTTATATGAGATCGAGCAATTGCGTGATATCTAGGCATTCTCTCTATGTGCGATAAACTGAAAACAAGTGCAAAATCGAACTCTCTCTCAATATTATTCTAATCTATTATATTGCCTTGATAAATTACCTAAACTCTACCTACTCTGAATCCTAAAGATTAGGTAGGTACTAAAAGAATAGAAAAAAAAAGGACAGTCAATAGTCAAGTATGTACTCACCTTGCGATACAAATTAGCTCAACACAATATAGACCCTTTTAACAACTCAACTGTGTTTTATCTATCATACTGATTTATAATATACTCATCAATATATCAATCAATTGATTAATATACTTATACTACCGCAGACACCTCCGGCTTCGCGTCTTCAAAATAATAAAGGTCGATTCTCATATAGCAGTGACGTGACAGTGCCGTGACCGGCACGTGATTTCACCGGCGAGATCAAAATTATTCTCGTATGCATTTGATGGAACCTATTCACATC